GTAGCATTCAAAAGGCACTAACATTCATACTGAGTAGCATCAAGAATATGAAGAATTGTAACACTAGTAGAAATATTAAACCTCTTGTTTCAAACCAAAGCCCTTCCCTTTATGAAGATCAGGATGAGACAGAGTATCACACACACATTGCTCTATCTGCCTGATCCATCTTTGTTATAACCTTCTCTGGAGTGCCCTGAACAAACTCCCATCAGAAATAAAGATTCTAATCCAGAAAGACTTCGGAGAATTTGAATATTCCAGTAGATTTCAAACTATATCCTTAAGATCATTAGGCACAGCAGCACAAAAACCCAAAACCTATATATTTATAAACTTTGGAACTGTCCACTGAAAAACTAAAACTCGTAATTACAACTCAATGTAATCTATTTAAAAAATTCAATAAAAATATGCTAGCTTTCTAGAAATCCTAAAGACACAGACCAAAATACGTACTTTACTCACCAGAAATAATCCTACAAAAACAGTGTTTAAACTAGTCTTTATTTTTCTTCCTCTAAATGGCATATATCCAGAAAGCTACCAACATGAGAGTGCACAGATTCTACGTGCATACTACAACGCACTATGTTTTACATATTTCATACCTCAATAACAATCGGATTAAAAAGTCAGATAACCATACAAGGCATGCCAAACTGGGAAGCCAAACTTTCCTTGCAAATCCACACATAAATTATCATAACCTTGTTTCAGAAAAACATAATAGGATTTGAATGAGCCAGACTGTTCCTACAGGGTTGATTTCTCAGTGAACAATTGCATACTCAGATTTTTTGCAGATTTATTGCACCCATTTCTGTTGATTACAGGTGTTCACTCGAAGCTGAAATCGATCCCATATTCACATTATAGTTTACAACAAATGGAGAGAAAATATGCTGATTAATGAAGATAGAACAAGTGTTTTATTTATGAATTTTACTAGGAGGCTTTAACAAAGTCCATCCTATTTTTTTTTTCTACTGTACTGAGGTAGTACAATGACACAGATAACCCACAAAGTCAGATCTACACGTTCTGGTGATGGCTGATTTGGTATTAGCAGCTGATGATCACATGGCTATAAGACAGCATTGAATCAGCATGCAATTCTGCAGGGAATGAATTCACTCTTGTCAGAGTTTACCTTTCTCTGCCAATGCCTCAAAACCCACTATTTCTTGTCCTCATCACATGTTGTAGAAAGAAAAAATTACAAGTCTTCTGGACTGCAATGACTTCAGAGCACTACCACTAATTAGCTTTGCATCCACCTTTTAATAAAATTCTGTATTCTACAACTCCAGCTGAGAGATGATCATGAAGAAACAAAACAAGCTAGAACACAGCCCAGGCAAGCCAGAAATTTGTAAGTTAAATGTTTCAAACATTCCTCCATAACTACTGAGCAATAACTAGAGGTGGTGAATACAGCAATATATTTTTAAGCCTTAGCAACTTCAATAATTTTAGCAGATATTTTCTATCTTAACTGTTCTTAGCAGATCAAGTACTTCTGCAAAAGTTCAAGCCTGTTTGACAATACAGCACAGAGCCACAATCTATGTCCCACTTTATTAATAACCAGTATTTTCCATCCAGTCTTTAAAGCTATACTTAAGTTGCACAGTCAAGCATTCAAACCAGGAAATGCCTGAATGACCATGGTCCACAGAAGCTTTATTCAGCCCTTCTGTGCACAGATCTTCTGATAGAGTCTTTAATTACAGTGTTACACTCGTTTCCACCAGAGTCCTAACCATTCAAGGCACAGGATGAGTAAGCAGGGTGTGAAACTAATGAAGCCATTTATAAGAATTTGGTTTTGTTTGTTAGATTTAGAAATATGTTAACATAACAGGAAAGGTGTTGAATTATAAGAAACCATATGTTTATATCTCACAAAACCAAATACTGTTTTTTGAATTTTTTATGGATTTTTTTCCCCTGCTGGCGTTCTAATTGGTTGAAGCACAAACCTTTCACAAGTGTTTGCTAACTGTAATGTTCCTCATTTTCTAGGTGACTGATCTGAGAAACACAGGCAAAAATACAAACATGCAAAAAAAGCTAGGTACTCATAGCCACTCTCGATGTTGGCAAGAAGCACATTCTGAAGTATTCAAGTACTCAAAATGCAAACTCATTTTGAACAAGTCACATTAGACATCTCACACTGGTTAAGGCAAATCAATATTCTTGATGTAACCTGGGCTTTAACTCCTTAGCTGTAAGTAAGCTATAAAATTACCCCTACCCTATGCTGTGAAGACTCCACTGTTACAGCTCTGAACACCACAGAAAACCCCACAACTCTGTTGCAGAAAACAGTTTAAAAAGTTGACACTGAGGAAAGTATACAGCTACATATTCAACAGATTTTTTAAACCATACCTCATTTAATAAACACCATCAGGCCCATACAAAAAATCAGACAGAAGTTATTCAGAAAAATACAGACTTGTGGCATAAGAAACTCCATCAGTACATACACACCAACGGAGCTAAATGAAAGACCCACTAGGCAACCCTAAACCTGGCATAGCCCAATGTGAAAACCTGGTTGCTACAATATTTATAGTTAAATGCATGTGTATATACATATATAGTAACATAATAATTTATTACAATAATGTTAATTTAATGGTTATAAATAAAATTAAAGCAATACAAAAAATTAGCCACCAAACCAATTTCCAAAATAACAGTCATGAACTGCTTGATCTGCAAAGATCCTCTCTCCTTAGTGGAACAAAAATAACTGGTTTGGATACAATCTCTAGAGTAACACTTTTTATATAACTTACGTATCATATGCCATTAATCAAATACTTCACAGATACTTGGAGCTCTCACATCCCTTCTCTTGCTTTTACATACATTTTTGTAAACCATGTATAAAATTTCAAAAAAGGCCACATCTTGAAACATGAATACTTAAGAACTCCAGCATTTACTTCTCTTTGTAATATCATTTAGAAGAACAAAAAACCTGCCTTTTTAGACCAAGATCCAAGCGGTGTTTATTTAAAGGATAATTCATGCATTCCAACCAAAAAACGTTTTGAGTCAAAGTAAACCACAGATGAGTATCTAGTACCTTTCATTAATTTGAAGTAAACAGGTAAATACTTTGATTTGCAAAAATAAACGGGTTTGTGGACGCAGAGAAAACTTTTTCAAATTTGGATTTCTCTGAAGTAAAGTCAAATTGGCTTCCTTTCTCCAGCACGTGATCTTTTTGTTTAGTGCCTATCTACTGACTGAGATTACAGAGTATATCTTGCTTCTATTTTCAGGTACTTACAGTATGGTGCTTGTTATGGTTCCCTGTGCTTTAGCTGCATAACAATTAAAAGCCAGCTCTACTCAAACTGCCCTAAATGAAGAGACCATCAATACTGTCATGTTCCTTGCAAGGTCTCAAATGAGGAAACAAACGATGAATGAACCCTACCTCAGTGTTACTTTCTGTCAGATAAATTCACCACATAATCAGATGAGCTGTATCATGCATACATATGTTCTGTACTCTATTTTAAGAACTTCTATCTATATAAATATTTGTGACCTTGTATAATCTATTTCGTACACAATACAATGACCTCTTCCACTAGATGGCCCTGACACTCCCTGTTGTGTATCAAAGCTGTTTGAACACTTACATGTGTAAGACAGTTAAACAAAACAAGTACACCAGCAACCAGTTATTACGAGAAGCATCTGATACTGGCATACTTGCATACTCAGGAAACAGACAAAAAGTAAAATATTATTTTGAAATAAATTGATACATATACACATCACCCTCTCCATACAGTCAGCAAAACTTTAATACAAAAATTTTAGCAGAACGCATGTACTTCACTTCCCAGATGTCTATACAAAATGACCGCTTTAAATTTTAAGTTGCTTATTTTCTTGTGTAATAAAATAGCTGTAAAATGGAATTGAGGTCTAGATGGCACAAATTTGTGCTGTTCAAGGATATCGCCATATTAAAACTTGTCCTTCACCTGAGATAGTTTAACCTGCAAATAGCTACCAATAACAAATCTCTCTTCATGAGGCCACACTGTGCCACACAGACTTAGCCACATGTGCATATGTTACAACTAATGAAAGTTCTTTTAGAATTCATTATATAACTGAACCGTACATGGTATCCAAAGACATCTAGCAGCCCAACCTAAAACATCTTTTAGGTAAAATAATTGACTATATTTCTCTTAAACTAACATACTTTTGAATACATTTAGCTGACGGCATCTCTTTTTGGAATGAGACTGAAGAGTATGTTTTCAAGGCTGGAACATAAAAAGCTATTCCTTGATAAAAGGTACTAATAAATACAGTAAAGCACTATGACAACTCTTGTGGTAGTCATGTTTGTCTCACTGATCACTTAAGTTACTAGCTTTTTGGTTCTGGTTTGGGGAGGAGGGTTTAGTGGTGGGTTTTTTTCCCCCACACTGGTTCAATCTGCAGAACTAATGGAAAGTGCAAATTTAATGTTCTGAGCTGCAGCTACTTTATGAGCAGGTATCTTAATCTTTCTCCTTTGCATTCCGACTTCATTTTTCATTCTTCCCTTTACCCACAAAAAATGTTGTCTACTGCAAAGTCTAAAGGCAACTGATTATTTTTCACTTCACTGACAATTATCTACACATTGTACAAACTGAATGGTCTAAACACAGATTTCATAATAACAACCTTTTGAGGAATTATTCTATTAAAGCAAATACTTCCATTTAACAGGTTTACACACTAGTGTTTTCATGAAACTAAATAAAACCTGGAGATAATAAATGTTAAATAACATATGAGAAGTACTACTGTAAGTTCAAGGCTTTTCTCTTTCTCCTTTAATATTTAGCACCTCTTCTGTATTTTGATTTTGTTTAAAATAAAAGCAGAGAAACACTTTTCCAGTTATCTGTTCTTTTAATGTTTCTTCTTTGGTCATCCATGTTTATCTTCATCTGTTATATTCAAAATGTTAGTGAAGATCTTTCAGTACCAATTCTAAAATCGGACTGAATATTTAGCATTGAACAAACCTAAAAAACAATACATGAATAGTGTTTCAAAGCATCTATTTTCCAAGAAGAATGTTCAACAAAACTCCTAGTTCATCCATTTCTATTCTTCTGGTCCCACTTGTAATGAATTGTAAAATAAAATTTTAAATTTTCATTTAAAGAATATTTTTATTTTTAATTTGCTATCAGTTGAGGAATTTTCAACTAACAAGTATTTTCACTTAATTAACCATATTTCAACTATTTTTACTATGATTGCAAAAGGAGAACAATAATTGCTCTGCACAAATACTCTGCTTTTGAACAGGTTTAGAAACTAAATATTTCCAGAAATTGATATGATTTTGTGCTAAAATAACAACTTAATCCTACAAACCTGTTTAAATTTTCCTCTGATTTTGTCCAGATCTTCTTGCAGCTTATCATAAGTGGGGTCTTCATATGGGAATTTCTGAACCATCCCTATTAATGAATCCAGAGCCTTTATCTTTTTGCTAAACAAAAACAAAAAATCAGAACAGAAAAACCAATAAGCCCACTACGTAAGTTTTTTGAATCTTTCAATATGAAAATTATACAATACATAATAATTCAGAGCGTAGAACCCAGCCCTCCATCTTTCTTTAATTCAGCTTCTTCCATTTAGCTCATTGAGAGCGCATATTTGATAAATATTTAAGCCATAATCAGAAATTTAGCTGTAGCACAACTGGCAGGTAAAGGTCTCCCTTTTAACTTACCTGCCAGAAGTTGACAACATTCAAGAATCTCAAGGAATACTGATTAGATGAGTGAGTGAAATAAAGAAATGCAATTAAAAAAAAAAAGCTCACCAGAACACTAACAAACTGGCTGACAGTATGGTCGCAATTCTGTCAGATAAATTAATAAAAACTGGACCGAAAAAGAATTACGGAGAAAAGAATGAAAGTCATAGAAAAAAAGTAGGTTGGATGGGACAGCTGGAGGTCATCTAGTGCATCTCCTGGGGAAGCTGGACTAACATCAAAGCTAGATAAAGTTGCTCAGGGCCATTTCCAACCAGATTTTGAAAATCTACGAAAATGGAGCTTCTAGAGTCTCTCTAGACAACTTGTCCCAGCACTTAGCTGCTTGCATTGGAAAAGACCTTCTCCTTACACCTCATTAGAACTTAATTTGTTTCCAATAGTGAAAGTTGCCTATTGTCCTCTCACTCTGCACTTCTGCAAGGAACATGTCTCCATCTTTTCTAGAACTTCCCCTTATACGGTACAACTACGTATCTCCCTCTTCTTCTCTCCTTCAGGCTGAAGAAACCAAGTTCCCTTATCTTCTTTTCATTATGACATGGTCCAGCATATGACACCACCTTAGTGGACTTCTTCTCACTTTTCTTCTGTTTTTCAGTATTTCTTTTGTATTGGAGAAGCAGCAAAACTGGTTACCATAATTTGAAGTAGTATTAAAGGAACAAGGTTTTTTTTAACCTTACCTGTTCTTTTCATCCGTGCATTTTTGGAGCAGGCACTGCCACATAAGTGCAAATCCAAGGTAGCTGCCAATCTGCAAATTTATAAGAATGTCATGAGGAAAAAAATAGCAATTCTGCAAAACACTAGCCATACTTTATGTGCTTTGACCCCTCCCATTTATTAAGATGTGGCAGTAGTGAGATAGTTAGAAAACAACCTATTTAAGATGTTCTGGTATTTGTTTTTGCAGCACAGTCAATTTAAGCAGCCCAGTACAGCTCTACAAAAAGGTGTACCAGCTGGACTGAAGGAGCTACCCAGTCAACGAAATCATGTTTTTTTCTGAGTTAATATGCAAACAATTTTACCAGTGTAACTCAAGAAGGTAGGATGGAATCAGAAAGAAGCATGAGGAGCTGACAAACCTAGCCTTGCCGCCAGAACTTTTCATTATGACTTTGGACACCAAATGAAATGGGAATACAGATGAGGTCCTCAATGCACTTATTGGATAAGTCAACTGGAGTCCCTTTCAAAAGTGACTTAGCATTCACAGAAAAACACCACAGACACCTGAAACAAAAGTTAGCTGACTTTGAGGAATTAAGTAAAATATTACAGCCTAATCCCACCTCGGTTCAGATGTGTGCATGTGTATGTAACTGCCATTTAAACTTACAAATTATTGTTGGACTTGTAAGCTCCTGTGGCCTGCAAGTGACTTCAAAGTAGAGTGGAAACACTTGGTAGTTCCAGTCTTCTGTTCGTTATGTTTGTTAAAGCGGAGGTTCTTTTTAAGGCCTAAACATGGGTTTGGGACTTACTATCTCATTAAGTGCTCAAGCATATTTGAAGTGAGGCTTCCAGTTCATTTTCTGTTGACAGAAATTTAAGTTGCACGCCCATGCTTAGAGACCCAAGGTAAATGGAGACAACTGACAGATACAGCAGTTACCACTGCTGTAAACAGAAGCTACTATGCAAAATATATCAAACTGACATCAAAGACGTCAAATGAATCAAAATCCCATATAGCAAGTAAGCTCAGAAAACATAAAGCCATCTGTTTAACTGCTCAAATGAAAATACCACCCTTAAACTAGTTTTATTGGTCCTCTTGGACACATATAAAGCAGTATAACATAGCAGGCCTGAGACCATCAATGCTGGGCTTTGCCCACGAGTTTCTGTGTTACAGTAATTTTCTAATGACAAAAACATTGCGATTCTGATGTATTTTCCCATTTACCTCAGACCCGATCTTGGCACCATGGAGCAATCCATATCTCCTTCCCTCAGCAACTCCAACATGACTGCCTTCAGCATACCCCTCCTGATACCCTTTACCGTGAAACCTGTAAAGACAGAAGTATAATTTTAGCACCTATTTTCACTCCATATCAAACTCACACTGCACACAAACAAAAACATGCGTATGATCTCCGAAATACAACCGTTCATGTTTAGCTATATCATGACGTTGATTTAAACAAAGAATTATGAACTCTGTGATCTGTTCAAACAAGTTCACAATAGTTTGCTGAGAACAATGCATTCTGCAATCCAGCACAGTACTTTTCACCAGAATAACATCTAACACCTAACAAGCAGCAACCCTGGCCCAAGTTTTCACAGGAAGGAACGGCTAAGATCAAGCTGGGCAGTTACTCAGCAAAAGTAAAGAGAATTTAACAGAATTATTAAACTAAATAGAATGGTTTCGGTTGGAAAAGACCTTTAAGATCATTGAGTTCAACCATCAATCCAGCCTTACTAAGTCTGCCACTAAACCATGTCCCTAAGGATGACATCTACTCGTCTTTTAAACACCTCCAGGGAAGGTGACTCTACCCCCTTCCTGGGCAGTCTGTTCCAGTGCTTAACAACCCCTTCAGTAAAGAAATTCCTCCTAATATCCAACCTAAACCTCCCCTGGCACAACTTGAGATCATAAAACTAAAACTTTATCCCTTCCTTCACCTTCCTCGTCTCTTCCCCGGGCTCATTACCCGCCCTGTGCCTCTCACTGTTTCCTTCTCAGGCTCTATTGGTGACTGTAGAAGCCGACGCCCAGATCCAGGCCCGGCGCTCCCTTCCATCCTCAACGGCCGACCGTTCCCCGCGGCTAGAGAGGAATCCCTCTCCGCCCCCACCTAGCCCCTCGAGGTCGCCGGGCGCCCGCCAAGATTTCCCCACCAGTCTCACTTCTCCTCGGCCATCACGATCTCATCAAACATGTCCGAATCTGGAGAAGGAGATGTATCCGCCGCCGCCATCGCGCCGCTACCAAAGCCCGACCGCTGGGCATGCCGGGAAAGGACGGCAAGCCCAAGGGACCGCGACCTGCTCTGTGCCAGTGCGCAGGCGCGCAAGCCCCCCCGCAGCGAGGGGGCGTGACCATTGCCTGCTCGGGCCACGCCCCCTCCTATATCGCTCTGCCCCTCACACTGCCTCGTTGGCCTATGCCCATCAGGGGGCGCCCGAGCGCCGCTGGAGGGCCGGGGGCGGCGTCCGGCGGTAGCGGGGCCGAAGCAAGGGGGCCGCCTCTGGTCCCTTCCGCCAGCGAGATCGGCGCTAGTGTCGCTGAGGGCTGGCGTGGCTGTGGGGAAACCTCAGAGCCCCGCCGGGAATCGAGGTGTGAGTTGGAGGTGGCCCGGGAAAAAAAGGAGCAATAACAGCGAAAGGATCAGTTTGGGTCTTTTCCCCATGAAAACAGCAGGAGTTACATTACCGAGAAAAATACTGGTGATGGAAACTTCTGTCTGATTTCTTGACCCTCTTTCTGGATGGTCTGACTTGTGCCCTCAGCCCAGTTCCTGCACACAAAGCCAGGGTGCAGGGAGCTCCTTGCGGAGGGCTCGCTTCCAGCCCGCGGGTCAGGGGCTCTGGTACAAGCTGCTTTTCCATCCACCTGAGACGTTTCTGATTTTTAAGTAGTGTATCTTTGATGTATATACCCAAAATGTAAATATTTTTTATGTAAACATCGAAACTGAACTTTAGTGTGCTATTCTAGACTGCTTTGTTGTAACATTTATTATTACTGATCAACACTGATAAAAGAAATAAGTTATACTTATTTATAAATAAGTATATATTTTGATGCTACCTTGTACTGTTGTTTTCCGGATGCTTAATGAAAATGTGGCTCTGAGCACAACATGGTAGTTTGCCAATCCAAATTGGGGTACAGGGCATATGTTATTCTCCAAATCAAATGCAGCAAAGCAGAGGACTCGAAAAGACAGCTTAAAAATGCAGAGGTGGGTCTAAAGAAAAAAAAGTTACATCAGAATGAAAATAAAGTCATGCTCCTAAAGGTTTAGCCAACCAGATGCAGCAGTCACACAGTTCATTAAAAATGCTCCATTGCAGGAGGCTCTACTGATTTATACTGAGGGACTGCAGTCAGTCAGTCAGCTCATTTTCTGAGTTAATTTGAAGTGTAGAGATCACCAGATCTCACATGAAATCACTGAAGGTTTGCCAGGTGTGAATACCTACCTGCTCTACAACCACACAATCACACACAAACACAGATTGTTCACTGATCAGTGGAAATATAAGGTGTCTCTGAAGGTTTCCTCTAATCTAATAACTACAATTTAAATCTTGCTTTGGAATTTAATGGAAAACAAGTTATTCGATCTCACTATACAGCAGGATTGATGAAAAATGCTGAAAACATAATAATGTCTTGACAAGACTATGAAACGGTAATCTCATTCTGGGGCATTCTTACGCACCTTCAACAATCAGTCTCACCGAACAAGGTTCCTGATAAACCTGCTGTATACCTAGACTGTCACAAATTCACCCCAAATTCAGAGTCCTAATGATGTATTTTTTGCACTCCCGTTTGCTTCCAAGGGAAACACTTCTCTATTCTTATTGCGTCTGAGGCTGCCTGAAAGGAGGGTTGGCTTCCATACATTTTTGAGGAAAGAAAGAACACTTATTTAGTTTATCACATCTTTCTCCATTCATGTACAAAGTACACTGGCAGAGTAGAAAGAGTGGTCCAAGATTTTCCCCGAACATAGTTTCAGTGCTTTGAGTAGAGGTGAATTTGATACTATGGGTCTTGAATAAAGGATTTATAGCTTTTTACACTTCTCCAAAGTGGAAATGGAGATGCCGAGTATCTCCTTTCCTACAGCCTTCCCATTAGTCTAACAACTCGTATTTGCACATCATAGCTTCTAACTGAGACTTCACAAGGAGACGTTTGACACCTGACCTTTAAAAACCTTTTAGGGCTGTAAAATGCACTATTGCAAATGAAAGCACTGCAATTGTCCTACCGTCTTTGAGAAACTATGATCAACCAGTATATCGTGAATGGTGGTGGTGGTGGTGTTTACATTCCCACAGAACCAAAGCTAATGGTGTTTCGAGGTTTTGCACACCAAGTTCCTGACCAAGTCAGGTGCCTGATTTTAGAGAAAGCATTTTCCAGTAATCTGACCACCTCAAGCTGTGTTCTTGTCAGATTTTATAAGCAAAACAGCCAGGTCTGGTCAGAGCTTGGGTGGGAAACCTTCAAGAAAAACTGAAGTGCTCCAGGAAGTGGTGTGGGTACTTCAGCTTCTGGCATTCTTCCCTGCGTCTGAATAAATATTGAACCAACCTCTAACCATACTGTTGCAGTAAGAAACATTGTGCTGCTGGTGGAAGATGCAAATCCAAAGGTGTCAGCAAACGGGGTCACTGGAGAGCTCAAGATGCTGCTCGCAAATATAAGGTTGCTCGATGTTGTGCTCTTGAGCAGTATTCATGAGCAATGATGTTACATCAACTTAAAAAAATCTGTCACTGATTAAATTAAACAGTGTACCCTCTGAACCCTGTTATTTGCTATGTTTCCCATCAAAACTGTGCAGATTTTTAGCAGAAAAGTCGAAGTGGATTTTTGACCAAACTTTAAAAGTCCATATATATTTTATTTTGTTTTCTGGGGCTTTTTTGTTTGGTTTGGGGATTTTTTAAAATTTTTTTTACAAAAGGATCTTGAAAGGTAATGTTCGAAGAAAATATAGTGTCTGATCAGAACTGGAAATTAAAACCAGAAAAACAAAATTCCCCAAGCCTGAAAACTTTTGGAATAAAACAACTTGAAAATCAGGACTACATCTCCCAATACATGAGGAACGGGAGCCCTCCGGATGTGTGGCAGTGGCTCAGCACAAAGGAGAATGGGAAACACCATGGAAGATGTTTGCCAGTCAAAAAATCTGCAATTCCTGTTGACTCACAGCGTTTCCAAACAGAAATGTTCAGTCTCTTTTCCTGACAGAAACTGACATATTTTTCAGGCCGAAATAACCAGTTTTCTCCCTGGCTGCACTATTGAGTATAGTTCTCATTTTTAAGAGGGAGCAGCCTCCCACCCACAGAATTTTTTGTATTTTGCAGGTGGATTTTGCACAGCTGGAGAAGAATCAGAGACAGCACACCTGATAGTGGTTTTTTTCCACCTCCCTGAGAATCACCTCCTCCAAGCAGCTGAGGGTTTGCACTCCTTTCGGTGTTCAACACCTTGAAGACCACAGTGCGAACAATAGCATTTAACAACATAAACAGAATATGAGAGGGGTGTTTTATGCAAATCCATAAATCTGCTTTATAGCAGATGAAGTATAACTGATGTCTACAGGCAGCACTCACCAGCCCAGATCTACAGCTACCTAAGGGAGGTTATAGTGAGGTGGGTGTTAGTCTCTTCTCCCAAGTAACAGTGATAGGACATGAGGAAATGCCTTCCAGTTGCTCCAGTGGAGGTTTAGATTGGATATTAGGAAAAAATTATTCGCTGAAAAGGTTGTCAAGCACCTGAACAGGCTATCCAGAGAAGTGGTTGAGTCACCATCCCTAGAGGTGTTTAAAAGACATATAGATGTGGTGATTAGGGACGTGGTTTAGTGGTTTATGGTTAGACTCGATGATCTTGAAGGTCTTTTCTAACCTAAATGATTCTATAATTCTGTGATTCTGATTGAATGGTGAGGAATGGGAGGAAAACATCAGGACACACTCACACAGCTTGAAAATTAGCCTCACTCATATGCTGTATCAAGAGATTAGTAATTTAGGACTAGATGGAGTGACCTTCACATATCCCAAGGTCAAAATTTAATAAGCTGTTTCCAAAACTCTTCCATAACAGAGATACTTTTATTAGACTTGCTGTTTCACATGGAGCTCATCTGCAACTGGCAGCAAACAAACTTGAATTCCAGCCTTGGCATTCACTGCCTACATCTGGGAAAAGCCCTCTGTCTCTCTGCATCCTTGTCTGTTGTGTCTCAACTACAAGGTGTCCCCTCACAAGGGACACCATCTTCTCATGGCTGCTGTGAGCCAGCTGCCATGGTTTGCTAAAGTTCTTCTAAGTCTCTAGACTAAAGAAGTGACAAAAGAGTCAGCTAGATTTCTGTGTTGAAGATGATTTGGTTTTTATTGCAAATGTACACATTCCACTACTGATAACGCAGAGAAATTTAAAAAGCTATCGTTTGCTAAGATTTCATGATTACAAAACTTCACAAGATGTGTTACGACTAAAAAACCCACCTTCTGAAGTATATAAATAGATTCTTGAGCATAAATAACAGTAACAAAATAAACAGATGTATGTATTCAATAAATTAATTATAAATATTGCATTGGCAATGAAGTGCTTGGTCAGAAGAACACCAGTATTTTCAGTAGAGCTCTTTTTGTGTAGAATTCTCTATTATAATTGAACCTTTGGAAATGAGAAAAATCCCTGAACCTTCTTCTCACATTGCTTTTAATTTTTTTCTTTATTTGGTTATTCCTTCGTCAAATTGTTACAATGGGAGAACAGAACTGAAGACATCAGACAACCATGTTTGGGCCACAAGGTACTCATAATTCCTTCCTGCAAGAACAGTGTGGCTGACCCAGTTCTGTGGCATTTAAGTCACTAAACTGTCTCTCCAGTGATTCCCAGGGTTGCAGGATCAAGCCTGGAAGGACTTAAAAGAACTCCTGATGGTTAAAAGTTAAACATGAAAACCTATTTTGCAACTTATTTGACCTATACATCATCCACTCTCAGTCTTTCTCTCCATTTGCTAATGACATACATGCTTATATACAACAGAACCTGAATTTAAACACTAATTCGAACTGCTCATTTCCTACCTGATGAACATCAATGTGAGTTCTGTGCATTCTTCCAACCACACACTGAATTCTCACTAATGTTAATGAGAACTCTGCTGGATGATGCTGATCCCACAGTAACTGTAAATTAGCCTATAAAAAGAAATCAAAGATCCAATTTTCCACAGTACCCTTTAGCAATAAGGGAAGGAAGAAAATTTCCCCTTTCTTCCCTTATTTCCTAAGGGAAGAAAAAGCACAATATACAAGCAGAATTTTTTTTTCAGTGGTATGTTTTCAATAGAAATTTTTCCCAGAACGTTGTCAGCAGCTTTTCAAAAAACACCGTTAACTCTACTTCACATAACCACATTTGCTAGGTTTTCCTTAATTGTGTTTTATTCCAAATGTTTTTCTTTAAGGCCTCTGAAAAGATTTTTGGATTTGCTTCTATGAACAGAAATAACGGGTGAACATACATGGTAATGAAGCTGATGTAGAAAAACTGTAATTATTTTATCATCACCACAGTAATGGAGGAACTCTGATGAAGGTGCTAAGCTTTTCTTATTCAATCCTTCTTTTCCAAATAAAACTATGGATAGACTACAGAATAGCCTCTGGGCACTCATCTCTTACAGGTAGCACACATTGCAAGGAAAAGATTGGCTCCATCCTGAAATATACAAAAAAAGTTCGAAATATCACTACATGAAAAGCTAAAAAACCCTGCAGTGTCCTGCAATATTTATTTAAAACCACGTATGTGTGATCAGAGTCATTTCTGAAAGCTGGGGCTCTTCACCGGCAACAGTTTGGAGGTGATGCCAAAGGGGTCCATGCTGTCCGTTTCGAGAGGTGAGGAGTACACCTCTGGTTCAAACGCTTGGCTGTAATCACCGTATTCACCAAAGTCTGTTGACTCCACAGGCACGGTGTTGATCATAGGTAAGAAGTGAGATAGTGGAAGAAAATCTTTTCCCTTGAACTGTTGTCTTTGCTTGGCGCTACTCAAAGACACCGATATTCCGTATTTTTTTGATCTATATACATTGTAGCCATCTGGACGAATCTCTTCTTCAAAGGAACAATCCTCAGTGGAATACCTGAGCTAAACAACAAGGAGTAACAAGAATTACAAATACAACCACCAGACTCACTGTATTCAACCATGACATAAACTCTGTATGTGAACAGCCCTTCTCCCTTTGCTGTCAGTGGGGGTGTCCCTCTGGCTTGTCATGGGTGCCCCAATTTGGAGCACCTTGTGAATCCTGCTGCCAGATCCATGCTAGTGAGCTGTCCGCTGCCTCCTTGCCTGGCTGCTGCAGGGACACAGGTGGGACCCATTGCTCTGGTGACTGCTCTTTCAGTGATGGAGCACAGCCATCAAGTTGAAGTGTCCTGAAGTGCCCTGCAGTGGTCAGGTGTTTGGACTAGATGATAGGTGCCTTCCAACTGAAATTATCCTATCCTATCCTATCCTATCCTATCCTATCCTATCCTATCCTATTCTATTCTATTCTAATTTCCATTTCTAATTCTAATTCGATTTCTATTCTATTTCTATTCCATTCCATTCCATTCCATTCCACATAGTATGCATTTTAGCTTATGAGGCCATTAAAAGACCTAATCCAGAACTCCTGAAGTTAATGCACACCTCCTTCACACTAAATAAGCTTTGAATCCTGGATGTGTACTTCTCCACAGCTACCACACTTACCCTGTCCTGAGCATGGGGAAAAAGAATCTCAAATGACAGTGTTTATTTAGATAAACTGTCTTTGAATGCTGACAGTATTTCACTGTAGTCATGAGACCCAACCCAACAATCCTCAGGTATAAAACTCTGGCTGTTAGAGATTTGTCTGTATAAGGACTTCAAGATCAGGTCAGTGGCAAGGCAGCACTGTCAAAGACAGTGCTTATACAAACATGGCCAATCAGTAAAACAACACTAAAAAGTTAATTGCCATTTATTTTACTCAGCATTTGGTAAAATTACAAGTGACCATTTAACACTGTTACTTGCTCACTAGACATTAGTTAGAACTGTCAAATTAGTAACAGTTCAAGTTAAAATTTTGTATAGAAAAATCTGATTTCTTAGGCATGAATTTGTAGAATTATGTTTGTGATATACTGTACAGGTAGCGTATGAGGAGTTTGCATTGCCAGATCAGACCTTTCCAGTTCCTTACACAAGCACTGTATTTCCTACAACGCCGGTGCTATTTCAGGCTTAGCCACTACAGGTGATTGAACTTGGGGTCAATAAAAGACAATTGCTGATTCTGTCTCAGTCTGCAGTGATAAAAGTGTCCTTACATGAATGCTCTGCCTGTCAGAATAGAGAGCATATTTGATCCTCTTCAGTCCTTTCTCAAACACCCTCAGTAATATGAAGTTCAATTAAGCGCATGCATTTGGGTGTCTTTTAAAAGCACTTTTTAAACTAACCAAGTAATTTCTCCAAATAAATTTACACAATATTTATCTTTCTACACACATATCTCAGAAAAATACGTGTCTATAATACAATTTTATGCCTGTATTGTTAGCTGTCCTTGCAAGTGCTCAACCTCATTAGAAGGATGATGAAATAACAGAGCTTCTTGAGCAAGTGCTCATTACAAATAACAGTTATTGATTGCATCCCCTATGTCTCAACTATATAATTCACTCTTAATTTCATTGGGATTGTCTCTGTTGTATTTTTTAAACAAGAACCAATTGCATTTTAAATATTTCCAGATAATTTTTTTTTCACAGGAGGAATTTATAGTATGTCAGTATATTAAGTAGTTACATTATTTCCCCTAAACTACAGACTATGGCTCACTGCATGTTCAAAAATCAACCCTAGTCATCAGTTTTCCAGTGTTAAAAAGGGCATGTTTCAGGAGTGCAAGCGGTCGCCCAGTTCAGTTCTCAGACATCATATTTGCCCTTTCGTTCTTCCGCTCCCGAGTGTAGTGCTGATAAGACAAAGAATTGCCCACAGAGCTGCCTGCTCGGGCTTTTGGCAGAGACGTGACAGCAGGTGCCCACAACATATAGATGTGATGGTATGGCTATGTGCCATTATATTTTCAGGAAAAAACACCCTTGCAAATTAATAATATACACCAACAAACCCAGTCTCAGTCAAGGCATATGCATATGCCTTCAAAACAGTGTTACATGAAAGCTATTTTAAAATGCTGTGACTGCTAAAATCCAGTCAGCAGCTCCAGTGGGAGCAGGATCCAGGCTCTGCCTTGTTTTCATTGACCACTTTGCTTTAGATATACATAAAAAAGCAAATAATTGACCTACAATATAGTCTGAACCTACATGCCTTATCACAGCATTGATTGATTCTAGCCCAGAAAAGCATGGAAATTCAGAAAGAAGGGCTTAATCTTATGTTATATACGCATTTAAGAATGTCCCTACATCAATACTGCTCTTATTAAAAATACTGATGGTTTTGACAATGGGCCAGCAGAATTGTTGCCCGAGTAATGAAAGCAGAATCAAGCTGTATCTTTACTATGGCATAATAAAAATCTGTTGCTCTGTGAAACTCAGGCTCCTGTAAAGCAGTCATACACAGATTGAATCTGAATCTTACCCTTCAAATTCTAGAGCTGGCAACTTATTCATGTGGCTTAGAAACCAAGTTTATATTGCTGGTAATGGCTAGCTGCTACACTGACATACCTAGAGAAAAAGCATTACCTACCAAAGTGGTGTCAGCAGATCCACTGACAGGAGCCCCAAAGGTGTGATGTTATCACAAGTCAGAAGTGAGACAGTGGAGAAGAGTCCTTCCCCTTGAAACCCTATTTCTGTCTCATACTACCTCAGAGATGGCAAGCCCATGTTTCTGGGACTTGTTTGTCTGTCAGTCATGTAGCTTCATCTCCTTTCCAAAGGAATAATATTTTGTTTCGTTTTGTTTTCCCCATAATACCTGACCTGAACAGTCAGAATTTATTTCGATTCTATGGCGTGACTTAATCTATTTCTGCAGCAGAAATGGGAAGTGATGGGGACCTGCAAGCTTTGTTAACCCATTATCAACCACAGCGACAAAAAAAAATCGATGTCA